AGCCCATAATGCTGTTTTCCTGTTCAAAAATATAAAAACTATATCCAGATCACAGTCTTCCTTGTGGAAAATATATATGATTTGCTGTTTTCTCATTGGAAAAATACATCCTCACCAGAGAAAATAAATCAAACTCAATTTAATTCCATCTGGGAAAAATATGACTTTCTTGAAATATAGATGTATCCTCGAGCAGCTCAATGTCCCATTTGGAACTATTACAAGTAAGACCTTGTTATTTTCACACTGCAAATCTCAATCAATAAAAGGCAGGATGTGTGTGTGCATATAACAAATGCACAGCCACAATTTTCGATGGATTTGCACCAAAATTTACATGCACATGCTCCAAGTTAGCGGGAAGGCCAAGAATGACTTTGCATTTCTCCTATCGATAGTGGAAATAATCAATTTTTCATGCTTCTATGGCAGTTTTCATGTAGCTTGCAGCCATTTTCTACTGGCCAGAGTGAGAGCCTATAGCTGGCTGCCACGAATAGGCAGGAAGATTCTATTGGCCAGCATGAGAGCCAACAGCTTACTGACATGAATGTTAACTAGCATGCCAGCATGCAAAAAAAATTGATAGCTGCATTCGTCACAAGTGGGAAAAATTTAAATCTGCATGGCACTTTACTCCAAATGGCTCATTCACTTGCTTAAACTCAACATTGATTCTGATTCTACAGAACTGGGTTGGGTGTGAAAAAAGTATTTGTTGTTAACATTCTTTTTTCATTTGGTTTTTCCAGTTCTGAGTCCTTTTTTAAAGCTGATCGTTTTGTGTTCATTTTGTTTAGTTCTTTTTTTGTAACAGATTTAATGTTTAGTATAGAGCTTAGAAAAAATTTGCAGTGTAAGATAGGCAAGAGTTAAGGCATGTAGCAACATCAGCACAGCAAAGGGCACTCCTTTAAAGGCAAGGAAGGGCAAAAATATTTTAAGTCAAGTGATAGCGATTGCTGTATGAGTCATACGATTTTTGAATCAAGCACGGGCAACGCTGGGCCATGCTGCTAGTATTTCTATATAATTTTGTGTATGACTTAGCAGTATAAAACTCTCTTTGATAACAAAGCATGTTTTTATTTCCTTTTTTCAGATATTTTTATTTCTTTTCTTTCAGATATTCTGTGCTGACCATGTATTAAAATAATTCCTCATAATGGGGGAAATGCAAACAGGGAATATTCCTTTCTTACATAGCATCCTTTTTGAAATGTCACTGATCTCTGTACAACATTTTCCAATATTGTATTCTTACTAATTTTGCAATACATTTCATGGTTGTATCTTTCTGTTGGCTTATGTCAATGTTTATATATCCAAATTTTAAAAAGTTATTGCAAGAATTCATCAGATGTAAGGATCAAGAGCCACTCTATGTAAAGGGTTGCTGTGAAAATAGGAATGATGATTGAGGTGTGCGATTTGAAACAAAGAGGAAGTGATAGAATGTGAAGGTTATGATGATGAAGAGGATAGATAACGAATGGCCTTTGACTTGAAGTGGTTAAAACTGTGATATCCACACATGTATCCAGACAGGAGGCTGTTCTACAATTCTCACCTCCAGAAAAAAAGTGTTTGATTAATTGAAAAAACAAAGAAAAGTTTCATATTAAAAGATTACATCACCAATTGTAAATATTTTTAATATTTTAAGTACTATTTTTTAAAATAGATATTGTAAACTGAAATTCAAGTGTAATATAAGTAAATTCTGAAAATATTGTTAATATCAGTTGAGTAATACCAATTTTATTGTGAAATCTATTGATAATGGCCAATAAAGATCTGATAAACAGCAAAACATGGAAAATATAAGGAAATATAAAACCATTTTCAGATCATGAGAATATAACCAATTCTTTTTATATATATATATATATATATATATATATTATATATATATATATATAGGGTTTATTAATGGTAATGGTAATAATAGCTGTTTTCTTCCACTAACATTTTTTAGTGACTAATGAGGCCGCTTTCAGATGAAATTGAAGGAAATTTTTTTAAAACAATCTTTAGAGTTTGAAAGTTTTTTAAAAGTTCACCAGCTGAAATCATCAGAAAGTATCAATGAGGTGAGTTTCCTTTTTAACCTATTTCAGATAGAGTTTTGTTAAATGTCATTATTATGTCTTTTTTTACAGAAAATATCCATTTTAATTGTTAATGCTGTGTAAGTCCTCAAGTTATTTAGTTTCTGTTATTTGTGATTGGCAGAAAACAGTGTTCAAAGAAGGTTAACTATTTGACCAGAAATCAGGCTTCACTTGCTCAAATTTGATTTTTTAACCATTGATCTTCGAAAACAATATTGTATACATATAAAAATTGATAGATATTTCTGAATGGGTTTAGTTATCATGGATCTATTTAATCTCCCAATCTGACAAGGCTATCTGGAAAACAGACTTCGCATATATATATATATAAATTATCACAGGAGAGATTGATTTTGTATTTAAAGAGGAAACCCTCATTGTTACAAGTTTCATTTAGAAACATTTGAAAATTTTGTTCAAATTTATGCCAATAAAAAAAGAAAATTATAAGAACACAAGAAAAAATTAAATAAAAATCTTAATATCTAATACCTTCAGTATCTGTGATATATTTCTATGAGATGAGGTATTATATACACTATTTATCATTATGGAGGACTATTGTCCTCATCTTTGTTGCCATATTTATCCAATCCTTCAGTATCTGTCTATATTTCTGAGATGAGGTATTATCATACACTATTTCCATTTATTCGATATTTCCTCATCTTGAATTACCATATTTAAAGATTCTTCATTATCTGTGTATCTTTTGAGATGAGGTATTATGTATCACTATTTTACATTATTGGACTCATTGATATCATCTTTATTGCCATATTTATCCGATCCTTCAGTATTCTGTGTATATTTCTGAGATGATGTCTATTATGTATATGTTTTTACATTATTCGGACTATTGATTACATCTTTGTTGCCATATTTATCCAATCCTTCAGTATCTGTCTATATTTCTGAGATGATTTATTATGTATTAACTATTTACATTATTCGGACTATTGTCCTCATCTTTGTCGCCATATTTATCCAATCCTTCAGTATCTGTCTATATTTCTGAGATGACGCATTATGTGAACCATTTATATTATTCGGACTATTGTCCTCATATTTGTTGTCATATTTATCTGATCCTTCAGTATCATTGTGCTCAAGAAATTTCAAATCTCTATTTCTGATTCTAAGTATAATTGTTCTTTTTGTTTCCATTTTCCTTGAAAAATTTGCTCTTACCCATATCTTCAATCAATCTGGAAGACATATATTCTCTTAGAAATCATTTTTATTCATCTTTGTTATTTTTCATCTGATTTTTTCAATATATGTGCTTTTATTATTGAGATTTTGGCTTTTACCAAACTGTTATAATTCATTTAATAATAAACTGTTATAATTCATTCAATGATAAACTTCTATTTAATCATAAACTGTTATAATTCATTCAATGATAAACCTCTATTTAATAATAAACTGTTATAATTCATTCAATGATAAACTGCTATTTAATAAACTGTTATAATTCATTCAAAGAAAAACTGCTATTTAATAATAAACTGTTATAAATCATTTAATAATTAACTGTTATAATTCATTCAATGATAAACTGCTATTTAGTAATAAACTGTTATAATTCATTTAATAATAAACTGTTATAATTCATTTAATGATAAACTGCTATTTAATTAAAAACTGTTATAATCCATTCAATGATAAACTGCTATTTAATAATAAACAGTTATAATTCATTTAATAATAAACTGTTATAATTCATTTAATAATAAATCGTTATAATTCATTCAATGATAAACTTCTGTTTAATAATAAACTGTTATAATTCACTCAATTATAAACTGCTATTTAATAATAAACTGCTATAATTCATTTAATAATAAACTGTTATAATTCATTTAATAATAGACTGTTATAATTCATTTAATGATATTCAACTCTTATGAGATGAGATGGCTAGATTTGTTTCACTGTCATCTTTTCTTTAACTTGTTTAGATTTAAAAACCTTACCAAATTAACTATTTTATCAAATCAACTGAACAAGGAAATTTTAATTCCTTTACGCCTTTTTCATGAGGTCAAATTATGGTTCTTCTTGATATAAACATTTAGAGATTCATTATTATTTAAAAAATGAATTTATTACATTTTAAAATTTTTTATAATGTTAACAGACAATAAACTATAAGTGACAAAAAACAATATCAGAAGGCACAATTCAATTAAACAATTTAAATAATTTTCTTCTTTTCATTTGGCATAAGGGTTTATTAGAAATCAACGATTCCAAACAATAAGTGAAATAAAAATGATATTTATATTTAATTTGAGAAAAAGTATTTCAAATTTCATTTTTTCATCTGATTACAGGATACATTTAAAATGTCATTGTTTCATAAGAAATAACCTAGGCATATAAAACCTAAGTATTGAAAATATAGACAGTCTTTAGCTCTAAAATAAAAATATTGGCCCAGGCATGAACCAAACATCTTCTTGTAACTAGGTTATTTATCTAATTATTTATCTATCTATGTTATCTATACATCTATGCATCTATCACCGGGAAAAAAATCAATATGCATTATGTATGTACAAATTCAATTGAACAAAAAAGGAAACATAAATATTTCTATCTATTCTCAAAATGTAAAAATCTAAAAGAAACCAATATCAATATCCATGTAAAATATATAATATTAGATATATACAAAATCTATATATTCAATCTATCAATCTATTTATCTATCCATCTATCTGAAATGTGAATATCAATATTTCTATCCATCAGAACAATATCTATCTATTGATCTAAATATCATAAATCTATATATAATGGTATACAAAAATCTGAATAATCTATCCATCTATTATCGATTTATTGAACTTATCCAATTTCAATATCTATGTACCAATGTCAATTATCTATAATCTATTGAATCCTTTTATATTATCTATCTATCTCTATGTACCAATATCAATATCTATGGGAAGCAATTTTCAATATCTTATCTATCTATCTATCTATCTATCAAATCTATCTATTTATCGTTTACATTTTCTATTATCTATCTTTCTCTCTCTCAATCAGAATATCCATTACCATTTATTCATTTTAACATCTACTTTACATGTTCTGAAAAATTTATCTCTCTCTATCTATATCATACATAAATATTATCTATCTATCTATCTATTTTTACGTTCCGGGTTATTTTTCTTTATTTATCTATCTATCTATTCATCTATTTATCTATCATCTTTTTACATGTTCTATCTCTATTTCTCTATATCTATTTATCTATCTATCTATCTATTTGATTACCCTTTGTTCATTATTTATTATAAAATTCACTCAGGTCCCATACCAACTGCAAGAATTTTTAGAAACTATAATTTATTTTTTCCAATTTTTCATGGAGCAACTTAAGATTTTCTTTAACTATTTTCTAGGGCTTAAAATTTCCACTTTTCACATTGGAAATAACTTCAGTAGAATCCTAATTCCCTGAAATCAGAGGCTAATTTTCTATTAGGCATAGACTAATTCTTTCTTTTCTTTCAAAAAGTTTATCTATATACTGTATCTCTTTTGGGGCATGGGTGATCATGACTCTCCACAACTTCCTGTTATTTATGTTTTTTTATTAGAGTTTATCATTTTGCTATCTCTATTATTCCTTGTCCTGTCAACCATTTACACTGTTTTCTATCTAGCCTTTGTCTTCTTCTTTGTCCCATTTTCCTTTAGGATGCAGGTAGTTATGACTCTCCACAACTTCCTATCTTTTGTAGCTCTTAGTAAGGTTTATGTTTTCAGCCTCTCTCCCAATTCAATTGTTACGTAGGTTTTTCACTTCTTTCCTCTGTCACTCTTCATTTCAATCTGTCCTGTGAGTGTCAAATTTTCTAAGCCCTCTTTCCTCATTATGCACCCTAGAATTTTCAGTTATCTCTTCTTGATGTTAAGTATAAGTTTCCTTTTTTGTTTCTATTTTCTCTAAAACTTTGTTGTTGCTTACATGTTCAGTTCATGGTATCCTCATCATCCTTCTGTAGAATCACATCTCTGTTGCCACAAGTCTCTTCTTCAACTGTTGGGTGCTGTAAGATTGGGTGCATGGGTGGTGTAATGTTTAATGGTTTGGCATTGTTGATTGGAGAGCCGAGTTCCAATTTCTGTTGTGTTAGTTATATTCACTTATGTGCAACTCAACTTGGGAAAGGTATGAATCCATCTCTTCTCACTCCAGCTATGGGTTAATTAGTAAGAGTTGTATCACTAAACTATTATTATTGCAAAAAAAAAAAAATTCTTACAATCTAAAAATATTTTCTGGCTTTAAATAACTTTCAAAGGGTAGATAAACCATAAAAAACAAATCAAACAATTCATCTGTGGCAAGATTGTTCAGCATTCTCTGCCATATAGGAGGACCAATATTACAGAACAATCCAGCACTCTTTTCCTTGTTTCTAATGAAATTTTCCTGTTTCTTTCTCAGCTTCTGGAATATGTCTTTTGCTCTTCCAATGTGTCTTCAGAATTTGGTGTCATATTTTTTGTACTTTACTTGATGTTGACATCTCCAATTTGCACATCGCATATTTGGACTGTTCGTTTCAATGCCAGCCATATATTCTGTTTTCACACAGACTTTCTTAACACCCTGTATATTTCCTAAATATTTTACAACAATTTTATCATTTAAGATTTTCTCGAAGAATAAAAGGATACCAGGAATGGTAAAGAAAATTTCTTTGCTTTTTATTCCAAGAAATTTTCATAGATTATTGAGATTTTCTGCTTCTACTGAAGTAAAAATATTATAACCAAATTCAGCTATTAACTTATTTATTTGAAACGTGTTCGTCTAAAAGAGAAACAAACTTGAGAAAAAGCATTAGATTGATTAGGTTTAGATTATTTCTATGATATCTACTGATGCCCCCATAGTTAAATCTTATAAAATCCAGATAAGAATGTTGTTATAAGATTTCATGCAGTGAATATTTTTAAATAAAACTGAAAAGTAAAAGAAACCTAATCATTCCTTCATCTACTACCTACCTACCCATGCCATGTGAAAATTCATAGTTCTTCAAAGTTTCCTATATTTTGTTCTAATACTTTATATATTACTATTTTTGAGTCTGTGGGTTTTTATTAATATTATTCAGTGAATGTGGCCATATTCAAATTTCAGTTCTCAAATGGAGACATTTTATATCTATAACCATGAAATGATTACTTTTATATCAGCCTGTCCCCATCTATCTATCTATCTATCTATCTATCTATCTATCTATCTATCTATCTATCTATCTATCACTATTCATTTGTGTCTCAGTCTATATCTATCCATTTCTCAGCTTCTTCATATTTATCTATCCCAGCATGTTCTTTTTATTTATTTTGATCTCTTCCTTATCTATCTATCTATCTATCTATCTATCTATCTATCTATCTATTTGTCTGTCTATCCATCTCAGACTCTTCATACCTCTTAATGACCAAAAATGGAGTACTGCTGCCATATATGGGCAAATCTGGTATCGCTGACAAAACTAACCTGGCCGTTAGTCTTGAAAAGGACCTCCAATCAGTTGTAGTTTGGGGCAGGAATTGGCTGGTTAACTTTAATGCCTCTAAAACAAAACTGCTCTCATCACAGGGAACCATACTTGCCTCCCATTAGAATGTCTGATGCTCAACTCCACGAGAGCACCTCTTTGCAACTGCTTGGTCTCACACTGACCACTGACCTGAGATGGAACAAATGCATTGAATCAATAGCTTCATCCACCGCAAGGAAAGTTGGTTCCCTGTGTCACACCAGAAAGTTTTTCTCACCTGATGCCATCCTTCAAATCTATAAATCAACCATTCATCCTTGCATTGAATATATGGTCTGGTGCCCCTGCTGTTCATCTTGAGGTCCTCGACAAAATCCAGAGACACATATACAATGTGATTGGCCCTGATCTGGCATCTCATGTAGTTGCTCTCTCACAGATGTGCCATCACCTCCCTCTTTTCAACAAATATTTTCATGGTAACTGCTCCAACGAGCTACTTTTGCAAGTTCCCAGACTGCACAAATTTAAACGTGCTACTAGGCTGGTATCTCAGTCCCGCCCTTTCACTGTCAAAACAGTTAAATATAGCCATCTCTTCTACTCCAATAGCTTCATTTCTCACACCTCCTGTTTGTGGAATTCTCTTCCTATTTGTTTCCTTGATAGCTATAATCTCCAACTATTCAAATGTAATGTCAATTGACATCTCCAGATGCCTTGATCTATTCCCTGTCCTTCTCTTCATCCTTTCCTCTATCATGCTTCTTTGCTCTCACTCCCACTCTCTGTAACCCTCTGTATGCTAGTGGTACCCTGCCTTGCTTGGGGTGAAATGCTTAAAAAAAACAAAACAGTTCATAAGGTTTGACCTACAGGCTTCATTTGCTCAAAGTCATTTTTAATCATTGATTTGAGGAAGCAGCTATGTAGAGTTGACAGTTTAGATATTTTTGAACAGTTTGGTCATCATCCATGAGATCAGCATGTAAGTCTCGATTTGGCGAGGCTATTTAAAAACATGGCTCAACTTTTGAGTTTAATGTTTTGGTTTTGTAACATCTTGCAGTGTTGAGCAAAACTATCCCTCGTGATGTCTATTCTATGTGTTATTTCCTTAACTTCGATATTAAATTTATTATAACTGACTCCGAGGTATTCCAAGTGTTTAGTATTTACTTATATCACATCCTGATTTATTAGGATGGATCCAGGGTAGGTGCCATCACTGCTTTCATTCCAATTCCAGATCATATTTTCTGTTTTGAGTTTGATTTCTGGAAACACTTCATAGAGAATGTTGATTTTTTGTTCCAAATCATTTCTGATTTTTTTATGAACACCTATGTCATCAGCATAGTTTTTCTCATCATAGTACAATAACGGAAATAAAAGAAGAACATTTTCAATTAATAGATTCTGTACCCATTGAGGACTTAACTCACTACCCAGTAGTAATGGCCAACCAGTATATATTCATAAAAAAAAAAAATCACCCAAAATATTTACTGAACTTAGCTTGACACAAGGCTACAAATATGGGACACTCAGTGCAGATCAAACTCACTATTCAGTGATGGTCAACCAGACTAAAGCACCCAATGTGTATTTGCTATTGTTTAGCAATAACGGAGTAAATTTCTCCAATATCTTATCAATGATGTTAATCATCTGTCTTCTGAGGGCCAATCACTTGCCCACTGTTGTTAGTCTGCCCTCTGACTCTAGATGACTTTTCTTCATCCAAAATGGTGGCAAATTTATAGTCAGCCAATGTTTAAAAGTTCTATTTTCAAGGACAATCATTCAAACTGACAAACAGAACTTTTTATTTATTGAATATTCGTAGCAATCTATTATTTATTTATTGAAAGTTTTCTGCTAATTATTAATGAAAAAAATTATCCTCAACTATTTCTTGCAGGTATTAAGTTAATATAAGTTTTAATTAATTAAATTAATTAGTTGTAAACCACCATGAATATAATCATTATCTCTTCAGCTTCACGTAAATGCATTTATATGCAGCCATTTCTCACTTAATGACTTACCGGTTCAACAAGTGCCATGTTTACAACCAGCTATAAAATATCATGAAATAAAAAAGTAAATTAAACTGAACTGTACGAAAAACTTTGATCATGATTGATGCAAAGTGAATCAAAATGAATAAATAAATGGAAAAATAAATAAAAAATTTACTGTATTTACAAATGTAGATGATGATAATGATATGTCCCCATAATATTGTGTTAGATGAAATGCAAATATGGCTGAGTAAGCATCTTCAGCAGGAATTACCTGACCACACTTGCAGACAGGGATATAGCAACCAGTTATTATCTGTTTGTATGAGTGTCAACATCACCATTAACCCTTGGCAGCCAATGGATAAAGGGCTTTGCAATCATCTTGCATGATGACTATGTTATAGACAAGCGTATGGTTGCAAGAAGGAAATACCACAACAGCAGAAATAGATTTACGGGATTTATTTCAATAGGAACGTGTGGTTTTGGAACAGCTACCTGATGGTATAGTTCATAAGTCGGCTCAAATCTGGGTTGATCTATCATAGTAGTTCTCACTGGTTGGAGGTAGAAAATTCCTCCTGCTGACTGCCCAGACTGACCATGACAGATCTCTTCCCTGGCCTCCCGTTGACTCCTAGTACTTCCCTGTGTGACCCTTTTATGGCGTTTTCATGGCTTAACGGTCTCAAAAAATGACGCGAGTATAATTAGAAGGGAAGCATTTTTATTGGTCGAAAAATAGAGACACTTTAAAATATTATTTTATTTTACGACCGGAACTCATGCGACGGGTCTATGCGTAAACAATGATAATTGTCATTTTGTGACGGGGCCTTCACATCTGGCTCTCACTTTTGAGTATGTTAGTTTATTTGCCTGCAAATCAGCCAAGATATGTCTTATTTTATTTTATAACAACTGTGACTGCATTAATGTCTATCATGTCTAACTAGCGAAATCTCTTCATCTTATCTTTCCATAACAGATCTGGTCTTTCCTACAGTGTTTACTAACTACAAACCTTTTGCTCCATCTGTTATCCTTTCTACTTGCCAATATATTCTATCACATCTCTTTTGATTTCTATCTTAGATTTATTCTGAGCATTGCTCTTTTCATTGATGTTAATGCTATTTATTCCAAATTTGTTTTTAAGTGATTTATAATATAATTTAAGTACAGCTACTCATACTTTACGTTCACATAAAATAAAATAGTTTTTAAAACCAACCAATCAGTAATGTCCATTGCACAAAAATTCTATAAAGATTGTTTTCTCTTTCTTCAAAATGAATTAAAATGAATAAATAAAAAAAATACTTCAATATATTTACAAATGATAATAATTTTACCTGTAAAAAATATTTTAAATATTTCTCTTTATGTATAATGAATGTCAAGTATATGAAAGGTTCACTTTTTGAATGACAGAAAAATGAAATTTTTCTCTGCCTATTTTGAAATGAACTCATTAAGATTGGTGCATCTCTGAATGATGTCTTTTTGTTATAATATTGGGTTATATCTAAAGTGTTTTTAAACCTGGGAACATTTCAAGATCTGGATTTTATTAATCTTCTGTGGTTCTTTGCACACAGTATTGTTTAAGGATCTAATCTTTTCTGAATGTATTTAAGTGTTGGAGTCTCCTTGACATTGTGTTTTGAAGCATTTTAATCAACAGCTGAAGGTGAAATAACTTTCTGGCAAGGGACAAGTATTAACTTAAAATGCTTAAATTAATTTTTCATAGCAGGATTAAATATTCTTATATTTCGTTTTGCTTTCTGAAATCTGCAATCACTTTCAGAAAGTTTGAAGCCCGGCAGAATTTAATTATAAATGAACGCCTGAAAACTGCCAGAGTCTTAATATATGTATCAACCCTTATAGCATCTGAAATGAAAAAGCCCAGTACTGATGATGGCGATGATGATGACGGTGACAATGGCAATGATGATGATGATGATGATGACGATGATGATGATGAAAACATGTCTTCTGATAGATGTTGCAGCCACAGCCCAGCTTTGAAAACATTTGAGAAACTAAGTATGTGCAAAAAGCAGTAGAACACAGCATCTTAAGACAATTAATAAAATAAATATCCAATGAGAGAAACATATTTCTACATGGATGAGGCTGTATTCAAGTTATGCGTGAACATGTAATATTTTTATGTTGTTATTTTTCTTTTCTCTACAAATTACACACACCTCATGACTAACAGCTTACCTGTTTAATTATCACCTGTATTACAACCAGCTATAAAATCTCAAAAAATAAATTTTTTTTTAAAATCCAGCCAGTTCCTTATACATGTGCAATGAACAATTTCATTGCAATTGTTTCCTCTTTCTCAAAGTGAATCAAAACACATAAATTAAATAAATAAAATGAAAAATAAATAACAAAAATTACTTATATTTACATTTTGCAAGCCACATTAATGTACAGAATATAAATCTGATTTCAAAATTTTTTTTATTATTTTCTTAAAGAACTGTAGTATATAAATATATATATATATATATATATATATATATATATATTAAGAAATGGACAAGGTCTGACAATTTATTTATTAAAGACATTTTTTATGCTTAAATACTTGTATCTATAAATAACAACGTTAAACATAAAAAATGTTCTTTAATAAAAATATATATATATATATATATATATATATAAAGTATTTACAGTATACAAACTAAAGTAATCTACAGAATATAGAACTGATTTTCATATTTGTTTATTATGTTTATTGTTTAGTAAACAACTGTAGTTCATAAACATTATGAAATACATTAGAAATGTTACAAATGACGCATGTGACATTAAAGCTATATACTCTATACTTCTAACATCTCCGCCTAAACTCTGAAATTTGATTTTTTCTTC